TAACTCGCGTATGTTTATATTTTTGCACGCGGAAGGATATATCTATGAAAATTGAAATATTAAGGAAAGTACATGACATATCTGGATTATTTGTCAGTGAGAAAGTTAGATAAAGCTTGAAAGGTAACAGAATCAATGCGATGGGATTGGAAGACTCAAGAAGTCCAGGATGTAAACAATCCTCGGGTGTCCAGCTCATAATTTTAGAACGCAACGTAAATTTCCCGAAGAGATTGTCGAGCCTGTAGATACGTCGGTCGACAAAAGCCAGAGTCTCGCGCGTCATTCCCGCTACTAACATGGTAACATCTTTTTTTTTCCTCCATGGACGCTGCTCATAACGGACCACGTGTCGACGATGGACCATCGATCCCCGGGCAAAACCGATCGATAACAAACCGATCTTGAATACGAAACTCACGTCGTCTCTGCCATCGCTCATCCGCAAAATTGCCGCCTTCCTTGACGACTTTTCCCCTCATCGATCCCCTCGATCGGCTCCGTCGACCGCGGGTGTAATCGTCCGATTGATTTACGTATAACTGGTCGTGACCGCGATCTGCGGTAAAGGAGCCGGACTCCTCGGCTGAGGAGGACGAGGGGGTCGACGAGTCGGAGAACCAAGAGGAGGGCTCCCTCGGACGCCATGGTGGTCACACCACGAGAAACGGCCTCGCATCCGCAACGCTTCCTGTACGAGTCACATCTCGTCTCTCGGTAACGCGCACCACCTTCCCCTCCATCACCGCAACAACTGCAACCGCAACCGCACAACCCTCTCATAGCAGCAACAGTCCTCCCGTGGTCGCCTAACTGATCTTAGCATCTTTGAGAATGCTCCAAGAGCTAAGGTTTATGGTACCGGCTTGACATCGCGAGTTTTATTACCGGAATCGTGGTGCACGAGGGAAATATCGCGTGTAAATTAAAGCTATTTTATGATCACTGTCCATTAGAGCTAGTATACATTTATCTTTTGCACGATCAAGTGAAAGAACAGTATGTTATCCTGATTTCATGATGTTTTATATGCCATTAATGTTTGATCCGAGTGGAAAATATCAAGAAATTTGCTATGAAATAAGTGGAAGGTTTACGTCAAGTTAAACAATTATGTATACGCAATTTGGACATTGATTCTTCTGCATCTAATCGATCGCATCACGTTAGACGAGATGGTCATTCACTGCCATCGTAAAGTTCGCAACTGCTTGTTCAAGACTGATAGAAATGACGTAGTTTGAATTGCAAAAGAAAATTTTCTTCGTCTGCCTGAACGTTGAGATTCATCTTCAGAAGCTTCTCTCGCACGGAAGATGTTGACAGAACGTTCGCAGCCTCACGTCTCTTTTTCCACCACCAAAAACGTCGGCTTTTCCCGGAAATGTCCATCCACCAGAGCACCGCTAGTCACTTTCTTTTCACCCTTTTCGCACTTGCCTGAATCCGACGGGGTCTCGACAGATGGATATCCCGAGTGACTTAGCGGATAATCAGCGAGAACTCGCCGCACTCTTTCATTTTTCGTTTCCGCGGAAATGCTCGGTTTCGTGAATCGGGAGATCGCGCTGCGCGATTGCTCTCCACCATGACTGGGTCAAAAACCGTGTCGTTATGTACGGCGATCGATACGTAAAAGGAACACGCGGGCGTGATTAACGAGCGATCGATACGTACCGTTTCGTATCTCTCGCCTTCTGGTGGGAACGTGTCGGCAAAAAGATGTATTATACACCCGGCTTCGAAGGAAGCACCGTTTTTTATTTTATTTCATTTGCAGCACTCCTTAGATCGTAAGTTGGCAAACACTCCTCTTCGTTGCACGAAGAAACCCAACTGTCCTCTGTAATTTAAATGACTGAACGTGGTCTGTTTTCTTTATTTTCAGCACAGCACCAGGCCGTCTATTCCAGTAAAAGGTACGTCAGCAACGAGGATCCGATTCGATCCTTCCCTCGTTACGCTTTGTTAAAATAAGCGACGTGGTTATCGGTGAAATCGTGAATTAGACTCCGCGTCTAAAGGCCTCTTGCGTCCACGATGCTAGAACTTGGTCCAATGTGTAGCCAAGCGACTTGCAGCTATTCCGTAAAAGCTGCAAATTGATCGGCTACACATCTCTTGAAACTTGGACCAAGTTCTAGCATCGTGGACACAAGCCTTAACGGAGCGACGTCTGTGTTTTTGCATGTTTCGGGGAAAATAAATTTTTATCGCAAATACTGCTTCCCGGCCGTTTTAATTGTGGCGTTAAAACGTGTCTTAATTATATCGCTAAATACTGATAGAAACGGATGTAGAAATTTAACGAAACCAGACCAATTGCGCGCCACTCCGCCGATTCCTCGTTCGAGAAAAAAGATTGGCGAACGCGGAACGAATTTCCATGCGCTTCCCAATTCCACGCGCCGATAAGCGTGGATGACGGCTGAACTTTCGGCGTTCGATAAGTCAATTTCGTGACCGGACACCGCGCCAGGGGCTAAGCGTGTGCGTCGTCGTCGTCGTCGTCTCTTCACCTAGATAGAGCCAAGTGTCGACGAGCCCTTGCTTACACGTGTGTACGGCCGAGCCGTGACTATCGATATTCGTGCGCCGTATGCAAGGCAGGCGGCACAAGGGCAAGGACCCCGATGGGAGCTACAGTACGACGAGTAGCCCGGCCAAGGGGGTGTACTCCGTTGCTGACCCTCCCTCGAGCACTGTTCGATCTACCCCGCCGGCAGTGCGCACCACCCGGCGGATACTGGTGTCCGTTGCGAGAGGCGAACAGTTCGGTTTTCAAGACGTCAAAGAGATTCCCGCGTATGCCGCGTCGACCATGAGATTCGATCCGCTCGCTTATTGCTTCCGGAGGAAAAATAAAATCCGCGACTGCGAAAGCACGGACGTCGCCGACGATAACAATCGGATCCTGACGCTTCGAATCGAAGATGACGACGCCGGTAATGCGTGTGACGGGTCCCGTGTTGAAGATACGGTGTCTCCGCTGATGTGATCGAGCGGATACGTGTGGTCTAATTGTCCCGCGATTCTTATTTCGAAATAATAGCGCAAGGGTGAACTTCGAGGGATAAATATAAAAATGATTTCGCGAAGAATCGGCAGGGTGCAACTGCGTTTAAAAACTTCGACCAATTTTTAATAGCTTTTTTTAGCTACGTTCGAAATATAATTTTGTATATAGCGATTAAAACAAATTATTAGATCCGAGGCGTCGTACGTTAACGTGAAAGATGGATCACGCGAGACCAAAGATTAGATTTACGTTTCCCGTCTGAGTTTAATCTTGACAAAGTCGAATCGCGATCGCCAAGGGTAAGGAGGACAGTGCGGACATCATTAATCCTGGTACCAATGTTTCAGTGAGTTCGAATAGGCAACTGCCACGGCCGTCGGGTCGCCCGACGAACATAATGCCGTCGACCACATCGGTGAACGGCCACGGCGAGTCGGTTTCCGGCCTCACGGGACGCCGGGAGCTCGAGAATATACCGCCGACGCCGACGTCGACCGTCGCGCAAAGCAACCTCATGACCCCAGTGCAGAACAGACTGCAGAAACAAGCGCAGCAGCAGCAGCAGCAACAACAGCAGCAGCAGCAGCAGCAATTGCAGCAACAACAGCAGCAGCAGCAGCAAGCCCAGATAGAAAACGGCCGGAGTAGGCGGTCCAATGTCGTCAAGGAGGTCGAGAGACTGAAAAAGAACAGGGAAGAACGAAGGCAACGACAGGCGGAATTGAAAGAGGAGAAGGAAGCGCTTATGAATTTAGATCCAGGCAATCCGAATTGGGAGTTCCTTGCCATGATAAGGTTGATATTGGCTCTTGTACTTTCTCCGCTTAAATTATATTAGAAATATTTAAGAAATATTGTTTGATATTAGAGTTACGTTATGTTATCTCAAATAAAAATATTGATTTAAAATATGCATTGCTTTTCGTAGAATATCTATACGTTTAGATAATATTCATGATTGATAGAAAATATGATATTTATCAACCGTATCGTTTATCGGTCTGTATTTATTTATTTAATTTGCAGGGAATACCAAAACAGCATAGAGTTCAGGCCGTTGCGAGAGACCGATGCCGTGGAGGATCATCAGATCACTGTGTGCGTAAGGAAACGTCCGCTCAACAAGAAGGAGCACGTGCGTAAGGAGATCGACGTGATCAGCGTGCCCAGCAAAGATCAGATGGTGGTGCACGAGCCGAAGTCCAAAGTTGACCTCACCAAGTATCTGGAGAACCAGATCTTCAGATTCGATTATGCGTTCGACGAGACGTGTAACAACGAGATTGTCTACAAGTATACGGCCAAGCCATTGGTGCAGACAATCTTCGAGGGTGGCATGGCCACGTGCTTCGCGTACGGTCAGACCGGCAGCGGCAAAACCCATACAATGGGCGGCGACTTCAACGGCAAGACGCAGGACTGCAAGAAGGGCATCTACGCCATGGTTGCCAAAGACGTATTCAAATGCCTCAAAATGGCCAAGTATCGGCCCCTGAATCTGGTCATTTCCGCTAGCTTCTTCGAGATCTATTCCGGCAAAGTCTTCGATCTTTTGGCAGATAAGGAGAAACTGAGAGTTCTGGAGGACGGTAAACAGCAGGTTCGCTTGATATTGAATTTTTAATTCGATCTAATTGCTAAATAATTGTTATTAAACTTCATATCAATATTACTTATGTTCAACACGATGTATTTATTTTTATTTTATTTTAACGTACGTACGTAGATTGGCTATCTACCATTATCAATAGATTCCTAAGTCAATTGACAATTTTTATTCGTGGTTATTCAATTTAGCTTTATCTTAATATTTCGAAATTTGTTTCATATCTAACAATAGGTGCAGATAGTCGGATTAACGGAAAAAGTCGTGGAGACGTGCGACGAAGTGTTAAAGTTGATACAGCACGGGAACAGCGCCAGAACGAGCGGTCAAACGAGCGCTAATTCTAACTCTTCGAGATCGCACGCAGTATTTCAAATAATAGCGCGTATCCCAGGCACACACAGGGTGCACGGAAAGTTTTCGCTCATCGATCTTGCTGGTAATGAAAGGGGGGCTGACACGTCGTCTGCTAATAGGCAAACTCGTAAGTAAATGTACAATTAATGCTAAACGGCGACTAAAATGACGCTGCTGGTTATACAATTAATAATCTACGTCTGCCTTAGGTTGCTGATGTAATTAATGTCCTTATTGAAATTTTCAGGTATGGAAGGTGCTGAGATCAATAAGTCTCTATTAGCATTAAAAGAATGTATACGTGCGTTAAGCCGCAAGGGTACGCATTTGCCTTTTAGAGCAAGCAAGTTGACTCAAGTATTAAGGGACAGTTTTATCGGTGAAAAATCAAAAACCTGCATGGTAAATTCTTTCACAGTTATATTATTACAAAAGAAGGATATCAAAGATGAGATAGACATTCGAACGAGTGCTATTTGTTTATAGATAGCGATGATTAGTCCTGGAATGAGTTCCTGCGAGCACTCTCTAAATACATTGAGATACGCGGATCGAGTGAAGGAATTGGCGGCGACTGATCCTACGGAAATAAAAGCTTCACCGACAGATGACGATAGGGGAATGAAGATCGAGGAACAGGGAAACAATAGCGTGTTATCTGATAGCGATTTAGCGCAGCTTCGGTCTCTCAACGTAAGTGATTATCTACAAACGCATAAGGATATGTTGTACAATTTCACAATTATAAAACGAATAAGCTCAATATAGTTAAATATTATTCACTGATGTTCAAAAAACTTATATATTAGAGAACTTACGATTAAAGATATGGAATCGTTCGAATAAAAGAAATCGATTTGCAAATAGTTGTGTACATGGTGAGCTCGTCTACTAAAATTGACCTGTTCAAAACTGATTCTTTGTCTCTTGTGTTCTTACTCGCGTCCACTATATCGAACATATGTATAATCCATAATAAAAATTAGCTAAAAATTAGAGATAACTGTGAATTTCATACAAATGATTTTCTTCTTTACAGGAAGGTGAACTCTCGCAAGATTTGTACACTTTCCACGAGGCAGTATCAGCTCTGCAGTTGATCGAAGAAGAAGTGTTGGATACGCACAAACTGGTTATGGATACTTCAACTAAATTTCTTAATAACGCGCACAGTGTATTCAGCGCGACTCATGAGGTGGATTACGACCAAGAAGGTAAGGGACAAATTTGTTTCCATTTGCACATTTACGTTTTTCTATTGGTTTATCCGTTTGCTCCCGCTTTAATTTCGTACACACTGCGTTGTGCTGAATGGTGCACTTGATTAATCAGAAATAAATTAATTTTTCCGTATGTGTGTCACACAAAAGCATGTCTTCTTTCGTTTTGACGTATCAAGAAAATCAGTTTTCGAATACGAAAGTTGATATTCAGTGAGGGCTTTTAGCGCCAGAATACTTGTGAAAATTTTCGTGGTAAAAATTCACAGGCATCATGTGGCGATAAATAACGAACCCTTTTAAGTGACGATACGCGTCGCTTTCGTTGAGATTATTCCGCCAGTAACTTGTAAAAACCTAAAAAGTACGAAAACGTTGTACTTGCCGGTATCACAGTGCATCGCATTTTATGACAGATACGCGCAGTAAGACTAAGACAAATTCAACCGTCACGTTAGACCGCCACCAGAGAGGCAGCAGCTCGACAAACACGACAATAATAAACGATGACACGGACAGCGACACGCAGACTTTAAACACAACAGAAGATACGGTCGCGAAGAGTTCGTTGATGTCTTCCTGGAAGGATGAGATGGAGCTCAGAAGCGATTTCAGTTCGAATGACACCGAGGAGGACTCGGGCGTTTTTCCTCGCACGCCTGTTAGACCTATTATCACGAAGAAAAGCATGACAACCGGTCGAATAGCTAGAAAGAATGCAATTAATAAAGGCATGCCCGTTGGGCGTTCTATTCAAAGATGCAGTCAAAGCCAACGGATCAAAGAGTCCATTACTGGCAAAAAGAAGTCTCGGAAATATCACTGGTCTGGTACATTCCGTGTTCGAACTCCTGAAGACACACATGGCAGCACGTATTATACGCCTCGCAAGAATAAATTGCACGACATAGATAGTCCACTGACGAATTACAATTATTACTGCGAGGACTTTGCAAGAAAGAAATCGGCGAATAAAGGAGATATTTTCTATCTGAACAAATTCGATCCGCAAGCTGTCAATGGCAACGTTGACTGCCAGCCTTGTATCGACCTTTCTATTGACAATTTTGAAGGCTGTAACGATTTTAAAGATTATGATGATACTGATCATGATAACAGCACACTACCAACAGCATTTTCTGATGTTAATATAAATTTAAGACGAGGAACGGGTGTAGGTGATAAAAATATGTGTGACTCGCGAACAAACAATAGCATTATTTTATACTCTCAACTTGCACTTGATAATGTTAATAAGGAAGACGATAATTTTTGCAATGCCAAAGAGTTTGTCAGTCCTGCGATAAGTGTCAAATCAAATTCCAGAAAGATAATTAATGATAGGGAGAAGAGATTTATTATTCAATTAGATTGCATTAAAATTTGGTATACTCTGCTATCTTTCCTGAAAAACGTTATTTTATTTTTGCTTCTGCCAACTGCGTATATTATCTTTTTCATTTATGCGCAGAGAGGTTGAAAAACAGGATGACATATAATTATTTGTATAAAACAGTCATACGAGTCAATTCTAAGTCGTCCTTATCGTTAAGGGTTTAAAAATCATTTCACTTTTATGCTTTATGATATTGTTATTTTTAATGTTTTATATTTAGGAGAAACTAGCAATATATCAAAAATTAATATTTTACGTCTTTATGGCTGCTTTCCACACTGAATTTAATTCAAACTCAATTGACACTCTTCGACTCTGCTCTGGAGGAAAGTCGGAGCGTGTTTTTGACCGAAGAACGCATCCGCTCCAAATATTTCGATAGAATCTTTTCTTAAAATCTTTTTCTTCGAATCTTTGCCATTTAATTGTGGCAACCTGTTCTCGGGTGTGTTAACGTGTGTCGATTTGTGTCTACTAAAAGGAAAGCAGCCTATATGTGTGTGTGTGTGTGTGTGTTACTAGTGTAAAAAAACTTGCCTGTGAAATGCTGTTACACAATTTTAAGTCTTTTAATTTAATTTGAATGAAAATGCATTCCTTCGAGCACTTGGCTGTGTGCACGTTTGAAACGTTACGAGTACTAATTCCATGTGTGCCATAGTGATGTGTTAAGTATATTTTGATTTTACAACTGCATTTCTCGCGCAACACTTGTCGTTTATCGTGTGAACTTTTATTTCGACTTAAAAATTTTTTTTATAACAGCATTTTAAATAGATGAAATTTACTACAATACATGACATTTATATAAACGTATTTTAAACCACATAAGTATTTTATTAATATTATTGGCTTTTACAAAAAGATAGCTGGCAATAGTTCAGATTACAGCTTAGCGTAGTAAATTAAGTTTTATTAGATTTCTAACTTGTACACTGTATTGTAAAAATCGCATTGCGTTGTATACCCGTAGGAGAAATTTAATGTAATACCAGGAAACGTTACAGATTTGAGGCGGAAAAGAACAAAGTTTGAGTCACCCTACCTGAGGAGTTTCTCGTTGCGTAGACGTCTTATAGAGAGAAAACTATTTTCCGACGGTACGACAATATTATTCGATTAACAATTCTATAAAATAGTCTCAGAGAAACAGCTTGTTTTTAATATGCACCATTCGTATACTAATGATGCGCGTCACATTATCTTGCCATCTCGATATCACATGCATTTCGATCAACTATATCCTCAAAAATGATATTTTTTAGCGATTTGATATCGGGAATTTTGCTCGACTTTGCCAATGTAACGTCAGAAATGGATTTTCTTCTCGTCTGCTTTAAGAGCTCTCATTTCTATCGGACTTGTATATCGCCGTGTTTAATGAATTAAAGTCGTTCAATTATTAAGATAACTAAATCATTTAATCTTTAACTATCTATTATTATAGAAGATATAGATATAGTTAAAGAAACGCAAGTTCAGGTCGGACCTCTTATTTCAATATTTGGCTCAAACCGCGTGTAAATAGAAACAAATTGTCTAATATAGAAGCAATAACAGCAAGATTTCACTGTATTAATCATACTTGATATATTTTTCTTAGAACGCAAACAGATCATCCTGGCAGGGTAAACTCAACATTTTTTCTTTTCTTTTATTGTTGTTACATATTGTTATCTTATTAAATATAATATTATCACAGTACGTTATTTTGTTAAATAAAATACTAGATAACTTTGTATACATATATGTGTGTTTACTGTAGAAATTAAATTTGAACGATATTAAATTAACAGTGTTGTATATGCGATTAGTTTGTATTTTGGAGACGTGAACGCATTATTTCTCATGTATGTACACAAACCGAATCCTTAATAAATGTTATTTTTGTGGATTATTGAGCTAAAATCACGTTAAGAATAATACACATAACCATGTTTCTAAGAAAACTACTCAACGTCTTGCTTGTGTGCTCAGCTTAAGCTTCAATCTGTGCAATATCGTATTTAATTATGTGTATGTTCACATTTTACACATAATGTTCACATCTTAATCCTGCAACGTCAGGCGCTTTCAGACTTACAAACAGCTACAAATAAGATCTTAAACGTACAAACGTTTCCATAAATTTTCTTGACTGTGCTTTCATGTAAAACTAGCCACTTCTATTCACCACTCAAATAGCGAGTTGGAAGTAAGTTTTATTTAAGCTGCCTTAGATGTCATCTTACTTACAATCGCTAACGATTATCGTTTAATTAATATTGTAACGTTTACTTTTATGAGTTTCATTGCCATGTGTGTTCATTTTTGCTGAGGCATTGAGACGTTACTAAAATTTGTTACACGTTCAAAAAGCTCATTGTCAGTATTACCGTCTGCTGACTGGACGAACTGAAGCAGCAATGAAGCTTGATGACAGATGTGTGTCTGTCACGTTTTAAGAAGATGCTATAAAGCTAAATACGAGGCTTGAGTAAAGCGGGGGAAATAGCCGCGGCATTCACTTGTGATACGTCATCTCTATGTATATCCGATTTAATCTCTACTACGCTAAGCCGATGTGTCTAATCCATGCTCTTGGGTGCTCTGACGGGGTGCGTGTTATCTGTTGCAGCATATGCCCAAAAGTGGGAGCAGCTGTTAATACAGCAGCGTGACATTCTGAACGCCGCGCTCGACCAAGTCAGCCAGTTCCGCGGGCAGCTGTTGCAGGAGGAACAAATCAGTCAGAAGATGACTCGAACGCGCAACATCACGACGCGGTACAATTAAGGACGCTAGCGTGCCCCCCCTTCTAGCGAACGCGAAAAGAAAAAGACACAAAAAGTAATTATCTCTCGCCGGTGAAGAAAAAAAAAGCCCGCTTCTTATGTGTGTATCGATTCTCTTAATTAAAAGCGCACGTGCGCGCGCGCGAAAGGCAGATATACCATGACACTAATGCGACAGTCATAGAGAACGCAAAAATGTAACAAAACTTCTTGTCTCGCCTTCGAAATTGTTACGAAATATACGTCGTCGAGCGGCGGCAAAGAGCACGACTCGCAAGTCTCACCTTAGCAATCTTGTATCATATAACGATTCTTCTCGAGTGGTTCTCCGTAGCAAAATGACAGAGTCAAGAGGAAATATGTACGGGAGCCGAAGTGCGGCAGGCATAATAACAATCGCTTGAGGATTCACCAGCGAAAAAAATTAACCATTTGTTTTTACCGCGTCGAATTACGCTCGTCTCGGTGGAGAAGTTTTTAGCCAGGATTTTTTTTAGTGCCTCTTTTAGCTTGGAACTGTAGGAAATTTTAAGCGAGTGCGGAATCAGTCGTGAAGATGATAAATGAACAAGCTTGATTTTGGCTCGGGGATCAAGTTATACGTAATTGCAATTATTTCTCTCGAAACGAGCTTTTACGTGTTTTACCTTATACTTTCGGGCCGCGCACCGAGAGACCAGCAAAATTTTTAAGCCGTCAACGACACGTCGATACTCAATTTGCCCGTTTTCGCAGAGCACCATCGCGAACGATAATGCGTAAACTACACAACGTCAGATAAACACTTTTTTTAGGCTGTAGCATGCTAGGCGTATTTATTACGAGGGACCCCTCCAGTGTATTATTGAATAAAGGAGAAAGTTTTAGTGAGCCGATTTGTCAGGAACAAGTAGATACGTCATGGCGATACTTTGTACACGTTCATTTAATGATACACAAGTGCATACGTACACACGCGTTAGCGATCGACTGTCTCGCAAACCAAATAACGACTGATTTCGGAAGGATGAGAAAGAAAAGATGTAACACTCTTAGTTCGTAAGAAGGAAACTGCCTAACGGCGCCGATCCGGGTATTTAAGTTTCTTAGTATTAATGTCGTCGACGGCATCTCTCAAACGGTTCTCTTTTTTTTCTTATGTTATTTTAAAAGTATGAGATTAAAATCTTCATTTGGTTTATCAACGCATACTTCAGTGTTTTCTTCCTAACTCTACTGAACCGCTACTTGCGGGGAGCGGTCTCAGCGTGCGCGCAAAGCTTCACAGGCTTCACTACGGATACGTCCAGCGGAATACCGTCGATTTTTGTCACGATTATAGCTATTGCGGTGAAGATAACGTTCCCCTTGTGGATATATTTACTTCGGGCAAAGAAAATCGAATCCTATGAAGCAATAAATTCTTATCTCGTCCCGTTTCCGATCTCTACATTCTCCAAAATACATCGCGGCAGTCGATACTAATATAATAATACCTGGAACAGAAAACAATAGAACTCCTTGAGTAAATCGTAGGAGGCAGAGCTAGGATTCACAATCCAGTGTTCAGTATTCGTGTATAAAGTAAGAAACGCAGTAATTTTTTAAAATGACCTATGATGTTTTTTAAATACTTTACTGTCGGTAGAGATAATCTCGATGTGTTCTAACTTGGTCTAAAATATTTACCGTGTCTCGTTACTCATGCGGGCCGACTTGTCACGATTTGTTGAATTGATCGTTGCAAGGAAATATATCGCACTGCAGTCGCACTAGACAATAGTGAGTTAAGAAGATTAATATAACGCGTATATCGCACGCCACACGACTTTATCTCTCTTGAAGATTTTATTCCCCGAATACCCGTTCCTGTGTAAGCATAAAATCCTCGTGGACTCGCGAGTTGACGATCATTAACCACGTGTACGCTCGATTTTGTAAGCGGGTAGAGAGAAATTTTAATTATATCTCGTCGAGGGAAGTTACTCTTCGGTCTTGTGGCTTAGAGATAAATTAACAAAATAATAATAATAATGCGCGGATAGATGAGAGTAACACTGACATCTCTGTGTTGACACAAGATTCACGATTTTTTATATAAATATATAAAATACTCATAGCGCGAAGAGTTTCAGATTACTGTTGTATCAAAGGAGTAAATAAGATAGTTACGCATGCCGCCGAGGGTATGCTCTAATTTAATTCAGCGTATTGATCGGAAGCTGTGACCGCATCATATTAGAGAGTCATGCTTCACTTGTCGAAGGAATTCGTTTCTCGCTACATATCCGACGTTTTTCGATGGTTGCTAAATATATGTCGCCTTGATTGACAAACGTCTACGAGGCAGTTCGCGACTGCTATAGCTCAGGCATACGTGTATCTCCCCATCGTTGAAATTTATAATTTAGCTTTCCTTTAAGACCACGAGAAGGTATCACGCGTTTCACACCTCGAATATATAGTATTTTTTAACAAGTAGAAACGCGGTGTAGGGAGAGATGAGGCTTAGTGATCGAAAGATGTTGATATACTTCTTATTTTTTTATAATCGTATAATTTATGCGGAAGGGAGACGAGTAAATCAAACATACGACACGTACTCCCCGTTCCACCCCTACTATATGTCGTAATCAATAGTCGACCTCTGAACTATTCCGATTCGATGTGCACAGAACATTTTTGGATACGTACGAGAGGTTTCACGTTGTTGCTTTATGAATGAAATAAATCAGATTGGAAAACGAACATTCCGTTACATTCCTCATCCCGATCAGTACACCTCGTCAAGACAAAAGAATAAGGCGTGCGAGATTTAATACATGTTTTTACGCTTCGTACGTAGCAAAACGCTGCGCATATACATTGAATATCTTCGCGATCGATACTCAATTATGCCAGTCATATCTGGCTCGACGTCGAGGCGGCGAGGAATTCGAATCGCAGGGATTCGGGATGGGTCATCGAATCGCGTAACCGCAAAACGAGTACAACAGTATAGATACACAGGTAGGTATTACTTTTATTTCGTACTTGGTAGAGCTGCACAAAGACAACGATTACCAGAAATGCATGCGTAGACAGCACGGGTGAAGGAGGCGCGTAAACGTGTCCGATCGGATAATTTCTTTACATGCCGAACGACATACATATACAGCTGATCGCGAAGAATTTACCCTAAGAAATCTCCGGGCGTCCCGTGGACGCGCGCTGTCCCGCTAGGTCTAAAAAATCACGCCGGTGACGGGAAATCGGTACACAGAGCGCTCGATCAATCGGTGCTGGGACGTCCCAATAAACACATGGTATAATATATTAACGATGATGTATTAAATGTTCGTTAAACGCAGTTTGTATAAAAGTTGGTGAACGATTACATCACTCTCATATTACTTTGCGTTTAATATACCATTATGTGTTTGTTGGAGTGTCTGAACATTTCATTCTTTTTCACGTGGCAACAGAGTGCACACCTTGTATACGCATACCCGTTCGACTAAACCAACCGTTTACGCTAATTTTTCATTAGGAGCCTAATCTCTTACCGTGTAACATGTCACATATAACACAAAGACTTGCTATCTTTTCACTACATCATGTACGTACATACATACATACATACATATCTATGTACGTACGTACGTACAAATATCGTTCTGTACATAAAATGTCTTTTTCACCATAAAGAAGAGAGGAGAACGTGCGAAATAAAATGTACTACATGCCACGCCTGGGCTAAGGCGCGTCGACTCCGTATAGTCTTACGATAACTACGTCCTATTTTCTCGCAGAGCTGGCGGCTGTACAGAGATAGAGGCTCGTGTGCCTACGTCGTCGCTGATAGTCGCGAACACGATGCAGCCATATGAGCGTCTCGGGGAAATCGCGCGAGGGGGGGGGGGGAAGGGAAAAAGAGAACCCGCGGTTACATTTTCTCTAACGGTACGTAACGTGGAATGGATTCCGAAGAGAGACGCGCTCTCGTTACGGCTAACAAGATCTAATATATTTACAGTCACTGACGTGCGGAATATATCGCGAGCCCGTTTCCAAATCGCACCTTCACACTTCAATCGCTCATCTATTTATTCTTCACGGCCTTTACATTAATAGACGGCTTTTCTATAAAAGGAACCGAGCGCTTCTGTGTCAGGATGCAAGTGGACGTTTCTGGAGCACGTCTTCATTTAAAAATGGCATGTAAAGAAAATAAATAACGCGATCGTCAATGGATTAGTAAGAAGGATGTAAGTATATTATACGCGTTAATGTGTTAAAAATGTAACAGGAACAAATTCAAAAACGAACGCGGCACTCTTTACACGTGTTGTCGCAGACACGCTCGGTTCTTTCTGTGTATTGTATCAAGGCACGAGGACTTTCCTCTCCAAAGTAGCTTAATTACTCAAAACTCGATTCATATCGCACGACTGTAATCATTGGGCAAATAAGACTCGATATCAGGCAATTCCGTCTGACGTTAATACGTAGCGTAATACATACATGTACTAGAGCATGTGACATTGCAAATACAGAACTGTACATTTATTTTACATATGAACAATTGAGAGGGATTCTTGTACAATTTCTTTTCTCGCGAGATGTGAAAACTTCTATGCACTTTCCGATAACATGTTTCACGTTTCTGCTATTATACATTGTAAAAATTGCATATCTCTCTCTAATGTCGCTTACAACTACGCAATATAAAAGGCAGCCAAGGCACAAACTTGGGTGGTGCGCAACAAAGTATAGTATTCCGTCAAGTCTGAAGTTGAATTCTCGCGTATCTCAAAAGGAAGTGGGCCTCACTTCGAAGATCTAAAAGGCTTAGGCAAGATTGTTTTGTAAACGGGCTCCGCGGCTAATCTAGTATGATTTAGTTAGCAAGGAAACGAAGACGTTGGTGATAACGTTAAATATAAGCTACAAGTATAATCTTGTGTATAAGAAGCTATCTATATACACGTTACATTTTACAGTAATGCATCGTGCTCATTTCTAATATGACAGGGCTCAACGTGCCGAAAAGATTTCGTAATGTCATTCTAATAAATTTACTATCCAAGTTTCATCGGCGCGGATTATAATCGCTATAAGAGACCTTCTAATTCGTGCGCATTTCTCGATGAAAATCCCAGGCAAACTCAGATCACATCTTGCAGAAAGGAACCAATTCGTTGAAAGATTCAGAAATAACCGTAAACACGTACGGCATCTTCTTCCTACTTACAGTTTTATCTTCTAATATAGAATACTGATCGGTTCCTTCGTACAAAATTCGATCAGATTGATCGCCATTGTATTAAACAATTTTTTTTTTAGAACGGGCTGAAAGTATCTTACATTTTATCCTCTTTTTTTTGTATTTGATTATTGTCTCCATCACTTGTGCAATTAGCGCAATTGTACCACATTATGCAATGTCGAATAATTCTGTCGACTTTTACGTTTGTACCCATCCTGTTCCAATTGTATATCTAATTATATAAATTACATCTTAGTCTTCCCTTATCACTTAATTAAGCATATCGCTTATCTTCTACTACCCTTTTTATCTATTGTGGAAAAATTCTAACGCTGTTAGCCAAATAAGTAGCCTTGTTCCCCTTCGTACTTTCTTTTGTTTATCACCAAATCGCAAATTTGCCAAATTGAATAGCAAAGAATCACAGCTAGGCACACATCGGCAAAACTAGTGACAGCAAATGGCAGTGAAACAAGATGGTATTGTCTATAATTAGGCACTGTTAATATCTGACGGTTTTAAGACACTCTGTATAGAATCGGTGTACTTTCGAGTTACTCGATTGAAGATCGTGGAAACGTGATCAGATACAATGAAAGAATTGCGTTTCTCTGATGAAATATCACAGTGCGTAAATTAAACATATTATGCGAATATTTCATTCTTTTTGGCACCTTTCGTAATGTAAAAAAGTAACAAACGTAATATCAAGCTCAGCTCCGATCAATTGGTAAAACGTAACTTTTTAGTCAAGCAATGTATAAACTTACTAATAGATGACTTTTCATTGTACACGTACACATACACATACACGCATGCCTATACGTGTGTACGACAATTTCCGTACGGAAATATATACAGCACATAAAATTTCACATATTTATAACACGTAAAACTTATCTAACCGTGTATCGTTCTTAAGAAAATACGGAAAGCGTGTTGCACAATACAATAATCGAGAGGAGTACAATGCAATGTAATGTACATAGAGATGGAGCAAACCATAGATCTTTCTCTAGATTAGCGAGTTGTTTCAACATATCATCGGACGCAGTTAACTTTTCCGAGAGTCAACGTGAGATCAACGTCCAATGTCTTACATTGAAATATTAGATCGCATCGTTCATCAATAAAAGCCCGCGCTATTATTATAACATTAACGATAAATTTGAGTAGATCTACATTGACATTACTGACGTAAATGTACTTTAAGCACACATGTAACTTAACAGGCATAACCGTCAGATTATGCTTACCTTACACGACAGAAGGTATATCTTTTTTTTCTCTCGTCTCCCATAATTCGGAGCTTAGATAAGCTTACTTTCTTCTTTGCCAAGCAATTGTAATTATACACTTTCTTTTTATCATCACAATAAATTTTAAAATTGTCTAAAGCATCAATTAAAAAGATTCTGTTTGTAGTACAGCATTGACAAATACCTCTACAATAAGTCTCCATATAAAATAAAGTATTAGGCTGATGCATAGATTTGAAAAATATTTCTTTTTTTATACACACACCATTAGTGTATCTCTCTATACATATATATTTGTATATAATCCTGTCTCTATGTAACAGCCAAAGAGTTTTACAGCGCATAGGTGCGTGTACATCTCGCGATTACGATAACTTTTGGAGATCATCGTTTAACATCTTTTTCTTATGTAACTCCTCGTAAGCTTTTATGATTTCTTTCAAACATTACATCTCACGTTCCCTTTATTATCATTTTTAATAAGATATTATTTTAATGACATAATGTAGGGCAACTTACTGTAATTGTATTTCGTCTGTGCACAGTCTCCGTAACTCTCGCATGTGTGGCAAATACAGCCAATGTATATATACGTAAACTCTTAAAAGTGCGTCGAGATTAATCGTTCTTCTTTGTTAAAAGAAATTTCTGTGATGCGTGCATGTTACTTATGACACAGAACTTATGGCATTGTGAGGCGGACCCATCTGCGTCAACACTTTGTCCAGCCATTGCAAGGGCCCATGTAAATGTGCTTCGATCCAACAGGGAGTCGATGTAACATCCTGCCTATGGTACTCCGCGCCCCACCCCTTCACGAAAGACATTCTGTAAGAAACGAAAATAATAAACGTAGCTACTAACATTTTTTGGTTGTGTCAAGACGTCGCGAGTTAATTACCTAATCGTACACATTTTCGTTAGCTCGTAAACAGCTTCGAAACCATGGTTTACACTTTGCGACAGAAGCTGGGCAAATTCCTGATTGTTGAATATCTTGAGCGAGCATCCCGGTGGAATTTTACAAACTGTACTGGGATGAAAGCCGTGATGGTGGTTGCAATTTCTAGATTGCACAAAAATCGCAGAGTCCGAGAGGCATTCAGCGTAAACTTCTCCCCCGACGTAGTACAGATGCACCCCCTTGCCAATGTGCCGCCTCGTATTCTCGATAGTGGAATTTCGATTTACATTGGACAGCTGCCCGAGGCAGAAGCGATCCGAGTTGTTGCTCGGGTTTGTAAAGCCGTCGATGATGACGGAGTGCGAGTGACAGTGGAACACCTCGCCCACCCGACAATTCAGCTCGTAATAGGCGATCGAGGCCCAGTAAGGTGGCTCTTGGTAACACACAGGTGTGGCCGCTTCAATCGGCGTGCTCGTGTCCATCGGAACCGAGTCCGACGACGTGGTCTGCCCAGTCTGAGAGCCGTCCTCGGGCGGAGAATACGCGGGTGGCGGCGTCTCCGGCAATCCATTGGTCCCGTACGGGCTCTGAGGATTCGGCAGGGTCGTGCTCCCGGGACTGGGCACAGAACCGACCGAGGACATGGGCGACGTCGGATTCACGCCACCGGTAGAGCCGGCGTTGAAACCGCTGGACGAGTAGGACACGTTGTGCGGCATGCTTGGGTCGGCCAGCTGCTGAAACGGCAGCAGAGAATGGCCGGGAGCGAATTCCGAGTGCCTAGGAACCAACACCGGTGGCAGTACCGGGCTCTCCACCCTCTTGTAGTGATAGGGATTGATGCAGACCTCCTTCTGCTTGGCGGAGAACGGATATTGACACAGATCCAGAGGTTTCAGTTCGTGATGCGACTGGAGGTCCGGCCATCGCCACACCCTGCAGTATATCACGTGGGGCAGACCCTTGCGATGCGAGACCTGCAATCTGCCGTCCAAGCTTCTAGGAATAGTCACGCATTTACTCGGCGTCCCGGGGCAACTCAGCGCCCGTTCCAGCTCCTCGATCATGCCCTTGCGCTTCTTCAGCTTCTTCACCAACGAGTCCACCGCTTTCTCAGCCCATTTTTCCTCCTCGTCTCCCTGCTTCCAGCCGAGCAGCTTCTTCACAGCGGGACTGGTGAACGTGAATAAACTGTTTAACGAAGACATTGGTCCGGAACTTGAGGTTCCCTCTTCATCATCCATATTGACAAGCAATGTAACGTTTAAGAGTAATGCGTGTGCATTATATCCTTGTCCACGTCTACAACGAGTCTGCGTCAGCGATCTGCAATCACAGTGGCAACATTTCTCCAATTTACCACAGTCTGAAACGATTCTATCTTACATACAATTGACTTTGTAAGTTCACTGGTTATTCTTCACTCAAATTCTCGAAAGAGATGAAACTTCCGTTTGAGATTTCACATCTCAGATAACAAATTGGGTACACGTGCTGTTTAAAAAGTATCACGTTTACTAAAAAAAATTTTTTTATTGCATACACATTAATTTGTACATTTTAATACATTTGTTAATTTGTGTGCCGTTCAATTGACTAGAATCTTTTTAACAGCTATCAACTGTTTTTTTGTTCTTACAAAAGCAGTTCTCTCTTGTGCACAGTGCCGGACAAAGCGCGAATTCCTCCGTCACCAATCCGAATTTTGCGATGCTATTTTTACAGGAATGCGAGTTTTGGCACGTCTCCTCCCACCACGTCAACTCGGTGACAAAGACCGAAATCCCATAAACATTGCAACTTACTTTCGAGCGGGGTACAAGCGCGAGTTCCGACGGAACGCCTCGCATGCATTCGATTACTTATTTGGCCATCGTTGCAAATTACAGACATACGATCTATCCAATTGGAACGTTAAACCGATATTTATCGACCCCGAAGCGTAACGCACGAAACCCACATTCACACCGCGTCCCAAGCGAGAGCTCCCGCCTCTCGCGATATTTATTCGGCAACACAGCTCGTCGATGAATTTAGTTTTTCCGGCGCGGAGTACGCGTTTTCAAACGGGCAAGGTGGTCCAACGGGTGTCATCATCGCGCGCGCGGTTAACCGCGCCACGAGCGAGCGCTTCCAACGTACCGTCGCAGCGAGGAGGGAAAAAGAAGGAAAGCGCGAGAGAGAGAGAGAGAGAGAGAGAGAGAGAGAGAGAGAGAGAGAGAGAGAGAGAGAGAGAGGAGAGAGAGGAGAGGGGGGGGGGGGGGGGAGGAGAGAGAGAGAGAGAGAGAGAGAGAGAG